GGAGGAAGATGGCCGCCGGCCACTGCCTCCGCCGTCTATGCACGCCGGTATCGCGTTCCAGCGAGAACCTTCCATCGATTGCGCGAGCTACTTCTCCACTTTCACGGTGACCTTCGCGAGTTATTAGAATTCTTCTGAAATCAGCCGCGATTTCGTTTTGTTTCCGGTGACGGCGAACGGCCCCGCCTCGCGTGCCAACAACGAGCACCGGAACGGAGGCGTTAAGAACGTGGAGAGAGGCCAGCGATCGTTCGCGAAATCTTTTCCGGTGCGAATACCTTGATCCTCCGGTTTATCGTTGCTTTAACGCGCTCGCCGCGATATCAACGGTCGTGGAAGTGCCAGGAAAATCATGTTTTTTCAATCGCATCGTTAACCTTCCGTTTTTCTCGAGAAAATTTCGCTTGTCCTCTGTCAATAACAACGCGAAGAAGCGAAGAAATTCTGCAGCGACGAGTAACTTGTTACTATTTGGTTTCTTGATGAGATTCAAGCTGGATAGCGTGGATTCTCGACTTCCACGGAGTCGAGAGTAGCCTCGAGATCTGACGAAATTTCACGATCAGCTCCGACGTCCTTGCGAGGACTTCCGGTACTCGCGAGTCGTCCCAGTTTCGTCCTGTCCGCCATCATTTCACTTGCAGATTTAAGCCAGTCCGCTCGCCGAGCCATCCACTCCTCTTATCTGTACCGCTTTAATCCGAATCGATCCGTCTATCGCGATCCAGGAACGAAACTCGCCCCTCGCAGCTACTGTTCTAAGGAGAATTGATCCCCCGGTTCGTCGCGTTTAACCTCAGCGCGATGAATTTGCCAGGATTTTCACACCAGAAGCATCGAGAGCTTTCTTTGGGCATTAGAACTGTGCAGCGATAAAAGTGACTCGTCTTCGGTTCCTCGTAAAATTTACATGACACCGTTTATTTCAATTTCATGGCATTTTTATTGTAGCTTCTGCGCAAATCGACGAGTGTTCTGGCAAATTCCAGCGGAAGCTCCTTTATAACTCTGCTAGTTATAAAGCGAAAATCTGAAATGCATCATTCTGACCCGCATGGTAGTTCCGGCGTTAAATAAATCTTGCTGCGACAGTCGACACCCAGAACACCAAATATACGGGTCGAAGAAAGGGAGATTTCCGCGTAGCGGATTAAACAGTGCGAAAATGTACAGGAAAATCATGCCAATAAAAAAATCTGCCTTTCAAAATTAAGAAAGTTCCTATTCATTGGAAGCGCACTTCGGTTTTGTAAACGAAACACTAATAATAGTCATCATTGATTTCAGTTCAGAGTCAGACACGTCATTAAGCTTCCCACGGAGAAGGTTTTCACGTTAGAAAATCTTGGTCTATAAAGGGTTGAACGTATCGCGAACGACCCAGTGGCCAAGTTTCTCTTCTTACGTTGCTCGGAATTCACTGTTTTTCCACGAAGCTTGCACGAAATCGATGTGTATAAATCTAGCTCGGAAGCTTCCCCGGCTCGGCAGGCAGCTTCCCGATTGGACTTCTATGAATTCCACTTACGCGATTGCTGGTCGATAAACCGGTCCCCGTTTCGCGCGTTTTCGTCACGAATTTCGGGATCCTCGCGTCCAGCAGCGCATAGAGCAATGGCGGTCGACCGTGGACCCCCGGCCTACGTAAAAACACAGCGTTTTAATTGGAACTTATTTCTTTTAAATTGAACACATTGACTGCCACGGTGGTCGCCGATGACCGGAACTTCCAAATTACTCGACAACAATTACAATTCGTAAGATAACAGGGAGTGAACGAAAATGTTTAATAACGCGAATAACTTGCTCATAGTGTAGCCTAATAATTGCGTACCAAATAATCGACAATTGTTTCTTTCTATTTTTGCTACGAAGGAATAAGCGATACATAGAACGCTGAAGTTTCTCGTGGCAGTCGACGCGTGACTGCCAACCGAAATAAGTACGCACGGAGCAGGAACCGGTAGCGTAAGGAGCTCGGCAGCTCGTGACAAGGAGGAACATCGATAGGCTTGGTCTCGGGAATCAGGGGCGAGGCGCAGCGGCGCGCAAAAGTTATTACCGGCAGCAATTTTCGAAACGGCACTGGAGAACGAGTGGCGCGCGCCGGTATCGGGAGTAATCTCGGCCAGCACAATGCCTGGGCAAAACAAAAGCTATCGGGCCTCGGATCCCGACTTCGTAGCCGCGGAATGGCCGCGCGCCGCAATCTCGGCCCTGGCCAAGTCGGGTTTTCCCGAAAATCTCAATGGACAAAGGATCTTCTTCTCGAATGCATCAGTTGCACCTGTCTTCGTTTCTCCTCGGATACGAATGCGGAATGGAGATGTGTTTGATCCTAGCTTACATCGTACCCTCACGGTTTTATTCTACTTATTGTCGTTAGAACCCCTTTACCAAAGATTTCCAGGTGATTTAACTTGACACTTTAACTTGCTAGGATCAGCTAAAACAGCAAAATGCACAAAATGGAAAAAACATATCAGATCATTCGATTGAATTGCGTTGTTATTACTGATCTTGCTCAATGTCACCGCATTCAACATAGTTTATAATATAGAAACGTTGTCAAGTAATCGTCTTTGAATTGAATAAACCATACTAATTCGATTTGATTGGGGATCACCGGTGACTCCCAAGGCATTCAACGTGCTAATAGACTTAATTAGCAGACAATTAAATGTGCCGCAATTCGTGCCGGTCGATAAGTTATCGGTACAGGATCGGCAACGATTGGCAGCGCCTCTAGCGGCTGCGCGCGGCAGTCCCGAGTAATTCCCGCGCAAATTGCGAGTGAACGGTCGCGGACGAGTGCTGCGTGCAGAATTGCAGAATAGGATAGCAAAACCTTTGGATTTCTGGTGTTGGTTAGCCGAAAGTGCGCCACGAAGGGCCGAGTTTGTCGCGGAGGTTAGATTGTGCCAGTGGTGCGTCGTTTCCCGGCAATCGGACCGATTTAATTTTAGTCCGATAGCGTCGGTCTCGTTGCCAGTATTTCTGGCGTTGGATCGATTCGCGGGCTTCCGCTCGAAAAACGCGAGCAACCTAGCCGATACCCGACGAACGGACCGTTACCTCGCCCGTATAACGATGGGGTTCGATTGTTCTGGAAACCTGTGAGTATTATCGATCGAATATCATTTGCGAAACGAAAGCTCGCGAGGAGAACGTCGCTTAAATGGTTGCCAATTCTAATCGAACGTTTCCCGGTGAATTCCAAGCGGGCATATATATATATATATATATATATATCTGTGGCGTTTGTAAAATCATAGACTACTTTCCCGATGGAAATTGTGACATTTCCAGTGACGGTGCGTCGATTATTTCCTTTAAAGATCGGAGTCATATCGGACGATGACAAGAACGGCCTGTGCCTGTCAGGACAGGTTCCAACCTGTTCGGTGGAACGGATTGCGTCATTAAATTCGACGTGTGGTCACGTGACCTGTCATATTCATCGCGAAATCCTTTTTGTCGGATCCTCTTGCCAACTTTTCACTCGCTTAACGCGTTCGTCTATATTCCACGAATCATTTTTCTCGCTTTTAGTACTATTTTCTTGCAAACGGAAAATATACTGTAATTATTCCGAATTTGGTCGTTAGGATCGCAGTTCAGTGCTCCGCCATGTTGGCTGCGAACCGAGAAGCTTCCTTTTCGATGAAAAGTCTTTTACCAATTTCCTATGGTTTTCAACATTTTTCAAATTTTACGCACGAGCAAACGAAAAGTGTAACGTGAAAAGTTTATACAGTGAAAGACAGAAAATTCTACTGCGCCGAAGTGACCGAAATTACTCGATGTATCGCATTGAATGCCATTGGGCTCACAGGTAACCCCTAATTAGATCGAATTACTACAGCTCATTTAATGAAACGACGATTGTTTGGAAACGTGACGGTATTATAAACAGTGCTACCTAATGCAGCTAGATGAACGCGGAATAACAATAATACAATTCAATCGAACGATTGATTATCATATTCTTTCCATTTTGCGCATTTTGCTCCGTGAAATCGTGTGGCATTCAACGTGTTAACACGTTCCGTGCCACGTGTACCACATATGGTACACGCCAATGTTTGTAAGAAAATATTTTTAATGGATACATGGTCACGGTCGGCGGTACACGTTGCAAAGCAGTGAAAACATAGAGAAACAATATCAAAATATATAAAAATTATTATTTTATTGAAAAACTCAATACAATTGATAAGCAAAATATAACTAACGAGGTTATAAGGAACGTGTTAATTATCGATGCGATACAATGCGTTAACAGCGTCGTTAGCGTTACTTACCTGGCGGTGTAGCGCGGATCCAGCCATTGAACGGTGGCTACTGTCTCGACTTGGCACGACTTAATGCCCGCAGCGTGAAAACACAATTTCATCCGCGCCGCTGGCAAGATACCGCGGCTCTGTCGCCGAGATAGGCAACCGCCGTCGCCCCATTCACCAAGGGAATTAGCTGCAACTTCTGAATACCGTGTATTGATACCGGGAGGGGGGAAGCGTATCGCGGGGCGGGTCAAGCTGAATGCTCGCCGCACTGAATACCTCTGGCCACGTGTCCTTACATTCGCTCTCAGATTAGCCAGAGATAGTCCGGTGAAACCTTCCGTAACCCTTCTCCATTGTACGGTTCGATTAGAGGTCTCGTGATTACGGCCATTGTCCCTAACGATAGACGACCCGTTGGTCCCTGCGTGGGTCTAGGAAGACCTGGAACCACCGACTCGCAGCGATGCTTCCTTTCTCGCGTATTCCTTTCTCCCGATGAATCATTGCAGAACGCCAGTTTCACGGTATCCACGCGAACGAGCAGGGAGTCGAACGAAGGACGAATGCTCTGATGTCATCCTAGCCGCGCGATAGTAGGAGGCACCCTTGTGTAACAAAGCAAACCCGCACAGTCCAACATCCAGCTACGCGCGTCTATCCCGTCTGAAGCAACGGTTTTATGAAGGAAACTTTAATTCGACGTCTCGTTTCCAGGTGCAGCAGCGTCGTCTCCTCGTCGAGTGACAGCAGCCCGAGGAATCGAGCGAGCCTGATCATCGGCCGCCTCCGACGAGCATTCCAAGTCGCAGCCAGCCATCGGAGGAGCAGCGAGAGTACCGGACGCGCAGTGCCCTGGTCAAGATTCAAGGATGTGACCTCGGATTCTCCTGCATCCGCGTTCCCCCCGCAAAGGGATGTTCTCCTCCGCGTGCACCAGCTGCACCGACGCCGAGGAGGACGCCGAGGATGTGGAGAACGACGTGGCGGACACCATCGCGCAGTCGTCTGATTACTTGCCGTCGGGTCTCCGTGATAACGCGCGCGATCACCTGGAAGGACTGCGGTTAGATGGGTCATCGGTCGCGCGTCCACCAGCCGAGGACACTTCCGCGAGGCCAGCGACGCCGTGGTCGCCGCCTCGATAAATCCGAACCGCCGTCCCCTTCGTTTCCCAGCTCGCTGTTCTCCTCCTCCCGCAGCCGGCCCATCCGCTCCTCCGCCTCCTTCTCCGCCTCGTCGTCATCGTCGTCGTGGTCGTCGCTCGCATCCCGGGAACCGGCTAAGCCCACGCCCGGCGCCGGACCGGACACCGAGCCGGCCGCGAATCGGAGGGGAACCGAACGCGCCGAGGAACGAGCAGCGTCCAGGTGACGAAAGCACGGAACCAGTGCCATCTCCCAAGCTACCCACGAGAGAGAGGTCCGATAATCGTCATTGTCATACCGTATACCGTTAAAAAACGTTCTAGGAAGTGATCGAGGAAGCTCCCCAGGCCGCCGAGCTCGAGGCCCCGTATAAAGCCGCGCGTCCAAGTGTCGGTGTTCGCGGGCCGACACCCAATTCGGAACTTGTTGAATGGATCGGTGGTGGTAGGCGTACGCTCGGTTGCCCCCTTAGCCCGGGACCGGTCGACCCGCGACTCGGAACCAACCCACGATGCTGATTTGCCCGCGGGTCATGACATTCAGTTAGTGTTGTGTGTCGTGGCCGGCCTGTACGTCGCGGTTCGCTCTCCGACCGGGGCACCCGGGAAGAGGGAACGGAGGGAGAGAGAGGGAAAGGGTGAAGGAGTGAGTGAGACCAACAGAGAAGACGAAGAAGACGAAGAAGAAGAAGAAGAAGAAGAAGAAGAAGAAGAAGAAGAAGAAGAAGGAGAGGCGGTTACCGAGGAAAGAGGATCCAGAGATGAGGCGTGCGAAACAGCCCGTGTTTAGCGTAGCCGCAAGAGGCTGGCCTAGGTCCTGATAGCCGCTGCGACCAGGATCCGGGGATCATTCAAGGTGAAAGGATGCCAGGGGGGCGCAGGGGCCTGGTCGCCCCGCAAAACACATTCTTGGAGAACATCATACGACGGAACAGCAGTCAACGTGAGTAACGCCGGCTTTGATTGGTTTCGTTTTCCGATCGGATCGATCACCGCTCGGAATCGGCTGAACGCAGCCCCGGATAGGGGTTGGAGGGCGGAGGCAGGCACGCTTTTGTGGGAATTCGCGGCGTTTCGGTGCGTGCCGCCTCGCTTCGCTCTCGCCGGCCCTGCCCTGCCCTGCCCTGCCTCCCCCTACTCCTTTCCCACGGAAATAGGTCAAACTAATAACTTTACGTAACCGCGGCAAGTGTGCAGAGATAAAAGTTGGTCCGTCGTGCTCGTAACAAGATTACGCTGACCATGATAGATTCTACTTACCAGGGTACACCCGCGGCTGATCCTCGCCCCCTCCCGAACGACTCTAATAGTTCGGGAGACGGTGTCAGCCGTTTAACCACGCGTTTCTTGTCAATTTATATTCCTTTCTTTTCTATTCTACGAGTCGTACGAATGCTTCCGGCGAGAATAGATTTTTAGGTTAAGCGGAGTTTTGCCAACGAGGTGGTCGAGTCCGCTCGCGAGATACGGGGATACTTAACAGGCTACGGAGTAACGAGTATACCGCAGATCTCTATGCAAATTCGATTCTTCCCATAAATGCATGGAAATTCGTAGTCCGGTAACAAGTTTCGGGTTATGAGGTACGAGTTTACGCAATAGCAGGCACGATTAACTCCGTGCTTCTTCTAAGCCGCCATTTCGTGCTGCGGATTTAACACTTCAATGGCTAATTGTCCCGGTAGTCCCGGAAAACTGCAAAGAAAATGATTCGTTTGAAGGGGCCCGAGCCGGAGCGCGTGTCTTTAAAGCGGGTAGCACAGAATCTACCCGTCCGTGTCCTCCTTTCACCCCGTTCGTCTGTAATGGGATGGGGGCGGGAATATTTAATTAATATAATCGGATGAGGCGGGTAATTGGCGATATCGGACCGCCTTTTCTCGCGTTTGTTTGGATTCATAGGCGTACGGCGAGCATCGGTGCGAACCGCGTTAATTGGCGTGGGTTAATCCGTTCACCGGCTGACATTTCGAACTCGAACGATCGCACGGGTCGCTAAAAGTGGCCGACTCCATTCTAGTCCCATAAGAAATCGCCCAAGACAAACGAAACATCCGAGAGTCTGCCAAAGACAAATTCTCCGGACAAAGTTCCGGCGAAGTTCGGCAGAGTCAGAGTGCACGCGCAACCTCGGCTGGCCCAGGTTCCCCGAGCGCGTTGAATCCTCCGGCTGAACGTCGCGCAAACATTTGTCCGTTGACGCCATCCCGCGATACCGTCGGGAATGCTCCCATAATTATTTGCCGTATCGATTCGCGCGATCCTGACCGTAAACACCGGCTGATTCTCCGGCTGAGTCGAGAGCTTAAGAGGATTCGAGCAATCGACGCCCTTGATGCGGCGCTACCGCGATACTGACTCCGCAAGTGGGTCTAACTAAGTAGATGCTCCTCGGTCTGCCGCGTTCTTCGGCTGTTTCTCGACTCACTCGTTTTTTCGTTTCTTTTAGCCTCACTTTTGTGGATTCGATTGTTTTCGACTCTGTTGCGTTGCCTTCCGTTAACGCTGGAACTACCGGACGCATCCCGACCCATTCTTGATTTCTTCATTTTGCAATTGTTAGAAAGACGACAGATGTTTCTCTGAGAAATTATTAAGGACACTCGATTAGTAACAGGCAAAGCAAAGTGCAGTGGCCTATAGTAAAGTGATCTCGCCGCTAGATCTCAGCCGACACAGCTAAGAAAGCATCAGCGTTACGACACTCCGCCCAGATTCCCGAGCACGCGACCGCCAAAAACCTCGTAGCCGGCGTATCGCCCCGGTCAAAGGTCACCGGCGATGAATAGGCTGTTGTGAAAGGGTTAATCCGAGTGTGAGACGCTCCGGCATTGACCTATTAACTCGAAAAGCCACGGGAATCCCAAGATCCGTGCAAGCAACCGCAAAATCTCGATCGAATCCGTACGGGCGCCAAAGTAGAGACTCGAAGGATATTCTCGAGACTTTCGATAAGCATAATTTTCTGTTAGAAATGGAACGAGTCGCCATTGAAGTTTGCTACCGTATGTTCACTGAAGACGAACAGTCTTCGTATCGAACCAATACGACTCGTACAGTTTCTCTACCCTGCAACGCAAACTCGCAAGACGAAATTTATATTTACATGTAATTCGAAACCTTCGGAAATCTACGACTGTAATTTTCATTTCTCAAATCCTCTTCACTCGAAAACTCGACGATATGAAACCCATGCGACTCGAAGATCTTACGTTTCTCCCTATAATTCGACTTATCGAGGTTCTACGCTACTTTTCTTTATATTTCCCTTCTCTTGGCCCCATTTCCCCCATTATTCCAATATAATATGCGTTTACGTGTACTGCCTGGTTTCGTTGGGCATACCGCGGAAGGATCAAACGATCGTTCCGAACGGGAAATAATTTATCCGGTCGGCACGCACAGAATTTCGGCAGCGTTACGCTCGCCGCGTTCCTCGGCCATTAATATTAGCCGCGGCCGGGCGTCGACGGCCCT